AAGAGGGGGGAGAAAGAGAAGAGAGGGGAGAAAGAAAGAGGGATGGAGAGAGAGAGAAGGGGGGTGAGAAAGAGGGAGAACGACGAGAGAGAGAGAGAGAGAGAGTGAGAGAGAGAGAGAGAGAGAGAGAAAGAGAGCGGAATGGCCACACGGTCTTTGGCCGAATGGTGAAAATCTATTTTAAACCATTACTGTGTAGATAAAAATAGAATTATACTGCAGGTAGCCAATGGTAATGCTGTATTTTGTACCAATGGTAACCCTGGATTATTTCTATGATTGTCCAATGAAAACTGCATATTGTTAACCAATCAAACCGATTTTCTTTGTGCTGGCCAGTGCACCAATGATATTCCATTTTATACAAAATATCTAATGTCCGCTGTACCCATATTGCATTGCGAAAAAGCAAGGGAATCATCAGCCAGAGCTAAAGGAGGAAGGTTGTTCGACGTTTTCACATTGAATATTTTTCGGTTGAGGATCGTTACATTTGAAAGGTGAGCTTGTGTTATGATTTTCATTTTAACTGATTTGTTATTTATTTTAGATATTGTTGTCAGATAAAGGGAAGACCATGTCAAGAAAGTTCAAAGTAGGTCACCGAACTGACTCTCAAGCAAGGCATCGAGACATGATCTTCCTTGACTGAAAAGGTTATTTTTTGCTTGTGTTTACATTCTGAAAACTAGCATTTTCAGGCCGTGTTTCTCCAAGTCTAGATTCTACCCTGCTGTGGTGTTTGGCTGAGGCTAAAATTGTGTGAACTAGATCCAGATGTGGAAGTCTCTACTCATGAATTGCGAAATGAGGCTGAATAACATGTCATGAAAGCACATTTTTTTCAAACCAAAACAAATCTGGCGGGAGAATGAGCATGACTCAAATTCAGTAACAAGTTCAGTCAGCCCCCATGTTTATGAAAGTCACCCCTGAAAACCCACTGGTCACTTGTTTAAAACAATTGAAATATTAGATTCTAAAATCTAGATCTGGATCTGACCGAGAATTGCTACAGAAAATTGAACAGAATTGAAACTTCTTTTGGCTTTGGGAGATTTGGACTTGGCCCTTGGGAACTAGACTCTAGTGATATTCTTTTCTGACAAGTTTGATTTCAATACCCTGATTGAATTTGCTTTGCAATTGCAGCAGTGCTTTTAATATCTGCTATTTATCTATTTCAGACAATGACTCGTACAAAGCAGACTGCCCTTAAATTGCAATTGTAGGAGTGCTTTTAATATCTACTGTTCATTTATTTCAGACAATGGCTCGTACAAAGCAGACTGCCCGTAAATCTACTGGAGGTAAAGCTCCCAGGAAACAGCTGGCTACTAAAGCGGCTAGGAAAAGTGCTCCTTCCACAGGTGGTGTGAAGAAACCTCACCGTTACAGGCCTGGAACTGTCGCCCTCAGAGAAATTCGCAGATACCAAAAGTCAACTGAGCTCCTGATCAGAAAACTCCCATTCCAGAGATTGGTCAGAGAAATTGCTCAGGATTTTAAGACAGATCTGCGTTTCCAGAGTGCTGCTATTGGTGCTCTTCAGGTGTGTTTAAAAAAAAAAATAATTTAGGCCTATTGCATATATTTCGTCTCTTTATTGTTTGTTGTAAGAAGAGACGGCTGGATTGTACTTTACCGGACCACCCGTCTCGGCCCGTGATTACTACGCACGCCTAGCCTAACTACGCACTCATAGTACTCTGCGTGCGGACAAAAGGTAGTTCCGCGGGCGACTTCGCGCACGCACAGCGAAGTCAGCGGCGACTGGCGAGGCGAGGTGAGCGAGAGGTGGTGGTGGTTGAGAGTGGACAGGGGATTTAACTTTGGTGGACCACCGTGTATCTTACCAACAGTGGGGTGTGGGGGTTCAGGGGGGCTTGCCCCCCTGGAAACTATAATAAAGAAAACACACAAAAATGCAAAACAATAACATGAGCGGACAGTCGTGTTTACATATCAATGGGGGGGTTTCAGGGGGGCTAGCCCCCCTGGTAACAATAATTTAAAGACACTCACACACACACATATAAACAATAGCATGATAAGTCGTGAGCAGGGCCAATGGGGTTGCAATTATGCAAATGAGCTCTCGTGCGCATCTCTAGCCCTCCATTGTACTTTGCCGGACCAGGAGTAGGCCTAGGGCCTAGGCCAAGCCAGCAGAGTCGCGAGCAAATAAGAATAGTGGACCACGTGATTAGATTGACCAATTAGCCTCAAGGTGTCAGGGTCATGAGTCAAAGGGCACAGTGGCACGGTCGTGATGACTGAAAAACCCGGTAAGAGACGGCAGTCGATTGCTGGCAGTTGAAGAGTGAGGACGTAGGAGAGTGAGTAGGGGAGCTCTGAAACGAAGAACAGCGGACCACTAGGCACCAGGGGCGCCACAGCGAAAGTAGTTCCGACCGGTGGTCCGGTAAAGTACAATCTTACCGAAGAGACCTCCTGCCCTTAATTTTGCGGACGGGGGTTATAGTTATGGGGGTAAATTCTCACCCGGTGCGCGTTCACCCTAAACCACAGAATTCTACACTGTGATAACAGAAAAATTGTAGAATTTTGTGCCCAACAAAATTTTAATAAATAGATCTACCGGTCTGAGATTCTCCATTGAGAGATATAAAAACTTTGGAAGATCATGAATTCTTTAGGCAAAGTCAGTCCGCATGTCCGGTATTCTTCAATCTTACCCAGTAGATCTACATTTGGCGGATTTCACGGTGAGGACCCACAGGTTTCCCATCCCAATTTTTTTCAGGATTTTGAACTTTTTCAAAAGGTTGTGTATTTTGTATCAATGGAAAGGTCTTTCAAAGATGAATTTTAAAAGGCCACCTCTATTCTCACCCGGGATGAGAATAGTGCAGGCTAGGCTAGTCTTTTGGCTATTCTCACCCTGTGCGCGTTCACCGTTATAGCCTAGATTTAGGCCAACAAATTTTGCGTTCACCCTAAACCACAGAATTCTACACTGTGATAACACAAAAATTGTAGAATTCTGTGCCGTGAACAAACGTTCCATTACAACTGTAGCCTACTAAAAGCGTACAATTTTGTATGTGGGCAGTGGAGAGACAGAGAGGAGTAGCGCGAAAACTTCCGGTCAAAACAAAATGGCGACCCGCGTAGTTCGGCTCGATTAGAAAAGTTAAATAGCCGTAGCATCTTTGTAGACAACCAAATTAATTTACTTTTGTGTTTTAACATCATTTTTTAACTTTGTTTTGGTCAATTTGATCGTCCACACCGATAGACAGTATTCAGAAAGAGAGAGAGAGAGAAGAGGGGAGGAGTAGATCTTGCGAGAACTTCCGGGCGGGTGAGAATAGCCACTTTCGTTTATTATACAGAATTAAACAAAGTCAACACTTGCTTTTTATTCACCTGTTTATTGGGCCCATAAACAATCAAAACAACACAAATTGAACACAAAACAGTGCAACAGGAGAATTTTATTTAAAAAATAAACCCTGTGTTGTCTCGGCCCGTGATTACTTTACCGGACCACCCATCTCGGCCCGTGATTACTACGCACGCCTAGCCTAACTACGCACTCATAGTACTCGGCGTGCGGACAAAAGGTAGTTCCGCGGGCGACTTCGCGCACGCACAGCGAAGTCAGCGGCGAGGTGAGCGAGAGGTGGTGGTTGAGAGTGGGCAGGGGATTTAACTTTGGTGGACCACCGTGTATCATACCAACAGTGGGGGCTTGCCCCCCTGGCAACAATAATTTAAAGACACTCACACACACACATATAAACAATAGCATGATAAGTCGTGAGCAGGGCCAATGGGGTTGCAATTATGCAAATGAGCTCTCGTGCGCATCTCTAGCCCTCCATTGTACTTTGCCGGACCAGGAGTAGGCCTAGGGCCTAGGCCAAGCCAGCAGTCGCGAGCAAATAAGAATAGTGGACCACGTGATTAGATTGACCAATTAGCCTCAAGGTGTCAGGGTCATGGGTCAAAGGGCACAGTGGCACGGTCCTGATGACTGAAAAACCCGGTAAGAGATGGCAGTCGATTGCTGGCAGTTGAAGAGTGAGGACGTAGAAAACTGAGTAGGGGAGCTCGGAAACGAAGAACAGCGGGCCACTAGGCGCCACAGCGAAAGTAGTTCCGACCGGTGGTCCGGTAAAGTACAATCTTACCGTTATCTCTCATATCCTTACCGTGAAATCCGCCATTTGTAGTTCTACTCCATTTGCAACTCGGCGTCCTATTGGGTCCAGTCTCTGAAAGTGCTTAATTTCTTGTACCTACAAAACTAATAGAAACAATCTGGATAGAAACAGCGGACCTGCCCCTCATCCTGATTTTTTCGCCCAAATCTCAAGCATCCCGATTTTCCCGATTTCGATCGCCAGTATCCTGATTTTTTGTCGTTGCGTCCAATTCTTAGGCCTTGTCTTACTTTGTCAGGGGGGGGGACCCACCCCCTCCTCAACCCCAACCACCCGTCCCACCCACCCCACATTCTCGCGCAATACTGTATATATATATATGAGTGGTCCGGTATTCTTTAATCTTTCCCGATTTTTATCGGCAGGAACTTGAAACGCTACTTTCTAAAGCATCTATGCCGAATCGAGTAGATCGCGCACATTATTGTTATTTCAACTAAAACCGACGTATTCTCAATTTTGAATTCCGACATGATGGATACGCTCAAGATCTACTTTTGCTTTTATAACCCAGAAGTATCCGATGGTGTCCTGATTACTGTAACAATTGTGACATAGGCCTAAGAAAAATCTATTCGTTGTTCTGCTGTTGCTTTAAAAGCAAGCTTCGCCTGAGTTCTGGTTAGTCGGGCCCGTCATCAAGACCTGTCAGTGGAACGTTCAAACGCTCATTCGCATCATGTGACATGACCTCGTACGTGTGTCGGGGAATGTTGGCTGTCGGAGTCAACAAAGTTCATTTGCATTGGTCGAGGTGTTTTTCTGGACTTAACCAGTGTGGACGGGAGGGGGGTGGGGGTATTGTTATGACACTTTGGCTTAAAGTGTGTGCTGAGATACATGTATTCAGACCTGGCACGCATCCCGATTTAGTCGGGATATACCGATTTTTTTGCCCCAAATCTCAAGCATCCCGATTTCGATCGCGGGTATCCTGATTTTTGTCCCAGTCTGCTGTTGTGCTGGATTTTTTCTAAAATGTCTGCTCCTTTATCGCGGGAAGCATCCGTTGAACTTTTTGTCAGTAGGAACTCAGAGCACTATTTCCTGGGGAGGAATTCCGTAACGAGCAGCCACTATGAGACAGCAGAATTGAGGGCTTGGGGTAAGGGTAGGGTTAGGTCTAGGCCTCCTCTTCTTTATTGTGTTTGATGGGGTGGTCGCTCGTTACGGAAGTCCTTCTATTTACAAAATATCGATGCCGCATTTAGTAGTTGACTCGCCCCAAGTTGTGTGTGATTTTTGCCGTACTCAAAATTCTCCAATGATAGCCTGGTAACTGTTACAATTTGGGACATACAAAATATAATCGATAATATTCGTAGTTCCTCTGTTACTTTCAAAACAAGCCTTGTCCGAGGTCTGGTAACTGCGCATTCACATCAAACACTTGGATGAGCGACAGTTGTTCTAATCTAACCCTTACACATTGAAATATAACTGCGCTGACTAACATACGGCCGTTGTCGTTGCTTTAGTCTGAACCTAGGTCTGAACGCATTATGAGGGATAAGAGATTTGTTGGTACATTTGGTCGGTCGGCCGCCGTCGTTATCCTAGAAGTAGAACGACTGTCGCTCATTCGAGTGTTTTGTGTGAACGCGCAGTTCGTCGGACCCGTTAGTAAAATTGTTTCAATCACGCATTCGCGTGGACACCCCTGGAAAAATTGTAAGTAAGTCAGCTTTGGCAGTCACCTTGGTGATTTGTTGTTATTCCCAATTTTTTTTCACCAAATCCCGATTTTTTTCTCCCTGAGATCCTGATTTTGAGGTTTCATAGAGTGGCAGGTCTGATGTATTGAGGACAAGTAAAGGAATAAGAAAAAAAAAATGAACAACCTTGGCAGTTTTTTTTTCTGGGGGGGGGGGGGGGTGCCTTGAGTGTATATATATGCGATGGAAGTCAAACGTTGTTACTGTATGAAAACGCAGGCTTTTTGCATGGATGATTCGAGTTATGTGTCAGCTATTTTCAAGACTACGAGTTTCAGCTTTACTGCAACCTGCGCTCCCCCAGTCTATCCAACTCCGACTCGAGTAATGCTGTCTTTCAGTTTTCCCTCTATTAAGAGGCCCAAACGTGAAATTATTCCTGCAAAAGTTTGTCTTGCATACTTGCATCATAGAAGGGAACCAGGACACCCCAGTACCCCTTATGACTGATTTGCCGTTGGTCCCGATTTTTTTCCACCAGATCCTGATTTTTTAACTCAAATCCTGATTTTTAGATTTCATAGAGTGGCAGGTCTGGAAACAGTCGATCATTTACTCTGCGTCGTTTAACTTTGTTTGAACTTGCTTTCGTAGCCTATGCAAATTGACGTAGGCCTTTTCTGTCTTCTTCCTCTCAGTTTACGTAGTGTACAGCATCAGAATCAATCTATGCAGAAGGGTGCTGCACTATCACAGACGACCGAACCGAACAGTTCTGCAAATTGCAAAGAAAATACATGTAGATCTACTAGATGTAATGCGAGTCAGCAGGTCGTGTTGCCACCATGAATGACAAATTGGCAATCCCTCAATGACGTCAGACAAGGCCACCTGGTGAGAATAGCGCAGGCGAGTCTTTTGGCTATTCTCACCCGGTGTGCGTTCACCGTTATAGTTACCCTTGGCCAACCAGTGTAGTGTTCACCTTGAACCACAGAATTCTACACTGTGATAACAGAATTGTAGAATTCTGTGCTGTGAACAAACGTTCAATCACTACTGTTTGCCTAAAAGCGTGCAATTTTGTCTGTGGGCAGTGAAGAGAGAGAGGAGTAGGCCTAGCGTGAGAACTTCCGAACAAAACAAAATGGCGACCCGCGTAGTTCGACTCGATTCGAAAAGTTAAATAGCATTAGCATCTTTGTAGACAACCTAATTAAATTATTTTTGTGTTTTAAAACTTTGTTTTGGTCAATTTGATCGTCCACACCGATAGACAGTATTCAGAAAGAGAGGGGAGGAGTAGATCTTGCGAGAACTTCCGGGCAAAACAAAATGGCGACCCGCCTAGTTCAGTTCGATTCGAAAAGTGAAATAGCCATAGCATCTTTGTAGACGATCAAATTATCTTACTTTTGTGCTATAACGTCATTTTTTCTTGGCTTTTACCAATTTGATCATCCACACCGATAGACAGTATTCTGAAATTAAGAAAAACAGGTCTTGTTTCACACTGGGTGAGAATAGTCTCACCCGCGGTGAGAGGTCGATCGTATTTTTATTCTCACCCCGGGTGAGAATAGCCACTTCCGTCAGACAAGATGGCTGTCACTATAAATAGGTACCACAAACCCCCGCCTCTACGCAGTTGAAAGCATGTAGGAAGCTCCAAATTTGGTCATTTTTAATCAACTATAACTCTTCTCATAATTTGACACCAATCTTCACCCCGTTTTGAACTAAGTCAGTTCAACTGTTGTTTTTAGCTAAAATCAAACTATTGAGGACGGTACGGAATGAGATATTGTATAGTAAGCTATTTAAAAAGGTCACCAAAATGCACGGGAATGCGTTTTCCGCATCCATTTTCATGCCGGCCGCGGCGACAAAAATTTAGGGTGCTTCACAAAAAGCCTTCGCGCTACGCGCCTATAACTGCTATCGTCATGAAACAAAAAGTGCAAGAACGAGCTTTGAATAAACTTTCACCGGGTACCAAGCACTTGTTACTAAAGTTAGTTGTTGGCCCAGAAATATCGGGAGTTTTGGAACCTATTTTTGGAATGGAAATCTCCAAGTCTGACCAATGATTGGTCGAAAGAACCCTGGACCACTCAAAAGTAGAACATATCAAGGGAATCATGTGCAACAATCACTACGATTGGTCTGGCAGCCGTTTAGTGCCGCTTGTTTTTGTAAACACACATGCTGGTCCCATCTCTGGCGACGCGCTTGATTCAGCAATGGCGAAGAATTATTTACGTGCACTACCTATTTTCGATTACGCTCTATTCACATACATATGATAAGTGCATATCAAGGGCTGCATTGTGCTTCCAATAATGGATAGGGATATTCAGGAGATATGCGGTAAGTTGATTTTGTTTATTAGATTGTTATAGTGTTACATAACATAGTTCTTCATAAAGTCATCAACCTTTGCCTGACCTAGATCTAGCTAGGGCTTGAAGCCGAGATCGCAAACATGCGAACCGGTGGTCTCATTCAGAGTGTCCTGTAATTAATTCAGTACCCAGTATTGTTGTAAATCTGGTTTGGATAGAAAGATAAGAAGCTTAAATTTCTTGAAAATATGGTGAAATCTAAATCAATTTGTTTTTAGTCATTAAAATTGGTATTTTCTGGTCACGTGACCATTTCGTTCTATTGATGATTCCGTAATGGTGACCTCTTTTTAAAGATAATAAGCTTGGAACTCGTCTGTGAAGGGGGTGCATCTGGCATTTGTTCATTGATGAATGAATATATTCTCTTAAATATCGCGAATATCTGACAAAGTCTTTGATAACTAAATCATTTGTTTTCTTTCAGCCAATATATCTATTTAGACTCATGAAACAAGTACCGGCACCAATTGAATTATTCTGTTATACAGTGGAATCCTGTTATAATGAGAGGGAGGGGACCGGTGCGAAATTTCCGTTATAGCAGGATTCTCGTTACAAGGGATCCAATAATAAATTCAAGGGAAATAGTAAAGTAGACCTAATCTATGATTTGGCATTCTGTTTATTCCTTTTTTGTATTTCTCCTTATGATTTGTTCAACATGATCTCAAGGTCTTACTTGATCAAAAATCGAATCAGGTTTCTTTCTCTAGCAGTAGCAATGTTGACAAATCGGCCTTGGCGATCAGAAAGAAGGCTTTCTGGCTCTAGGCTAACTCGCCCGCAGTGTTGTTCCCCACCCCACCACACACTGTGGCCCGTTGCGTTTGCTCGCGCACGTCATACAATCACTCCATCCATCTATCACAGCATTGTGACCTCTCCATCCCGCACCAGAGAAGTGAGAGGCACGGTATGCCGAGATAATCTGGGCTGGCCTATCACGCGATGCGTTCTGCTTGTGTCTACACATGCCACACCCTCCCCACTCATTCGCTCCGGCCTTCATTGTTGGTCCGCGTGGGCTCTCCCATTCCTTGTTTCGCTGGATCACCGACAACTTTCTCAACTGGCAAGGTTTTATAATAATGTTTAATTGGTCTGTGCCTGAGCACAGCAGCAGCAATATTCCGTTATAAACGACTCGCGTGACGATCTGATTGCGCAATAGCAGTATTTTATTTACAAAGATAAAGAAGGGAAAAAACGGGGTATTAGAATACTGTCTTTATAACAGACTTCTCGTTGTTTCAGGACTCGTTATAAGTGAACTCCACTGTATATGGATTAACACAACAAATTTTGTATGCAAGGTATTTTTTTTTCCTCTCTTATTTTTTTGTTAAAATTTAGGCTTGAATAGCCAGAAATGACACACTTAGGATGCCTTGAAACCAAAAAATCTCGAAACCTAAGGGGGCTCCGTCCCCCTTCAACCTGGATCCGAAAATCCTCAAAAAATGACATCAGCTGCTGGAAGCTCTTGAAACACCATAAACAAATTCCAAAACAATGAAAAACTCGTCAAACCCTTCGGCTTCAGAGTCCTTGAGGACCAAAAAACATACATTTTTCAAAACGAGACATCCAACAATTTCTTTTCCCTGATCTCCCTCTGTGGCACCTCACCAGGGCAAAAACAGACTTTCAGCTGACCACACGACAACGAAGGCAAAAGTAGACTTACAGCTGACCACACACGACAAAGCAAGCACAAACACCAAAACACTTAAAACAATACAAAAAAAACTTATAGAAAAAAACCCCCGGTGCGGAGCTTATCTTCACAGATGGCCCCAAGTCGGACTCTGGTGTGGGTGCCGCAGCCCTTTTTTCAAACAGTACACAGCAAAGGAGACTCCATCCCGAAGCCTCCATTTTCTCTGCGGAGGCCACTCCCATTGACATGGCACCGGACTCCGTAGAAAATTCTCCTAACAAATCTTTCCTTATCCTTTCTGACTCTCTGTCTTGCATTACCTCACTTACAAAACTACACGCTCCTACACCCAAAAATAGTTGGGCTACAACACAAAATACATGCCTTGACTGAAACCGGGAAAAGTATGGTGTTCGCATTGATACCTAGCGGTGTGGGCATCCGAGGAAACGAGCAGGTAGATCACCTGGCGAAGGAATCCTTATCCCTTCTGTTGAGATCAACAACAAACACATTGACAAAATAAAGTAAAAAAGTACACCACCTGGATGCTGTCCCTGGACCCTGCTTCCATACTTTTTCTTCAGCTTCAGCTGTTGGACACACTGCATTAAACATCCATTGTCCTTATATCTTACCTACTTTTTTGTATGGGTTTGTTACTTTCTTTTCGTGTAACATTTCTAGCCTCCGGCACTTTATAATCGACTATGGATGATTAGTTATCATTGGGGGAGTGAAAAAATATCAAGTCATCCAAGGTTCAACTAAAACATTGGGATCGGTAATGGAAGAGTTGATGGGTCCTGAGAAAAAGGTAAACTGAAGCAATTTGGACAGAGTCGACTGTATGACCTATTTGAGTTGCAAGTGCTGTAAAAACATTAACTAAAAGAAACAAAAACATCCACAGATAGAGCTTTAAACAACACTTGTAAACTACAGTTTGAGTCTAATCACCTGTTTCTTTCTTGTTCGCAGGAAGCCAGTGAGGCCTATCTTGTGGGACTTTTTGAGGATACCAACCTTTGCGCCATCCATGCTAAACGTGTGACAATTATGCCCAAGGACATTCAGTTGGCAAGGAGAATTCGTGGAGAACGTGCATAAAATCTTTTATCTCATATCCAAGACAGTTTGGGACAAACCTGGAGTATTTTGCTTCCTGTTCACTTGATGAAAGTCAGTAAATTCGTGGATGTGTGTGGTAATGTTTTGGTAGCACAAGAACAGTTCCATTCAATTGCAACGTTTTTATTTTCTTTTGTATTCAGCATTATTCTGTTCACCAGAGATGACGAAAAAATTTATCTAGTATGATTACAGCAATTTTATTATAAACTTTTCCAGCAGCAATGGTTGTGATCAATCAGTCAGGTGGCCAGGAAGGAAAATACTAAATCTTGACGGTGACCATTAACGCAGCAGCAGCTTTTGTTCATGTTTTATTTTCGTTTTGTTTTTTATTACTCAATATTCTCATACTTTTTTTTTATTTCCGTTTTCCTCGTTCTTAGAAGTTTCTGTCTCTCCTGTTCTTCCTCCCATTTGACATCTTTCTATTTATCATCATAAGTAATCATTATACATCGTCACTCTTGCGTGTTTCATTGTTTTCAAAAGAAGAAAAAAAAGTGTTTTTATCATGTTTTTCTTTAGTCGTAAGATATTTTCTAATAGTTCCTTGATCCATTTTAAAATATATTTTGATATCACTCCTTACATTCTCTTGGAAAGTCTTTGCTTGCGGATTAGATTCTCACAATTTAGCCTGAAATTTATTAAAAATCCTTCATCTTGTGAATTCATGGATTTAAAAAAAAGTTACCTCAGAATTTGAATTGGTCATAAAATTAATGTAATAAATGGTTTAGTAATACTTTTGGCATTTTGTTTTTATTTTTGTCACTGTTTCTATGTCGTCCTGATCTCCCTTCCTTTTTTGTTTGATACTCTCTTGCAACACCTCTAAATCTTTGGTAACTTATTTGGCTGTGGGTGGTTGGTTCTGGTGTGATTTGCTTCTTCTTTCCTACGACAAACATAGATCTATGTCGTCCTGATCTCCCTTCCTTTTTTTTTGTGTTTGTTACTCTCTTGTAACACTTTTAATCTTTGGAACTTATGGCCTTATTGTGTTGCAGGTGCCGTAAAACACTAAACGTTCCTTTTTCACATGTGGGCACAAGCTGGCTGTATGGTATTACAAAGTTTTACTCTTTCATGGCTAAGCGATTTTTTTCCATGTCCTGCATTTCTCAGTGCATTCTCTCAATTGAAACTATTTTAGCCATGCCAAAAGATTCTGCAGTTGATTCTTTCATACATGACACTAAAATTTGACCATGTCAGCCTTATACATGTGCACTTTGTGACTGAGGGCCGTAAAACCTCTACTAACACTAAAACTGTTGCAAGTGCCATAAAACTTTCTAAAATCAACTGTGGTGTAATTGATGGGCTTTTATTCATTAGTAGCAAGTTCATGTCCATGCAAGTTGTTCTGTTGAGTGTTTTTTTATAAAAGCATTTCTCTGGTTCACATGGGTGTTGTGTGGTCAGTCCAAGGACTCTGACTCTGAGAGAAGCCTGTAGCAATTCATAAGCCATACCACCGAAGTCCCCGCTTGGTTGCAGGGTCATTGACATTCTTGGTCATGCATGTGTAGGCCTACCGAACCGGTGGCCTACTGTATTTTTTCACCAATGTAGGTGTTTACGTCCCCACTAACACAATTTAGATCATTATGACCCTGCCTGTGTAACTCGTGTAAGGGCCAACCCCGTGTTGAGAGGGAAACATCTCAACAGAAAGACTGAAGATCAGATACATGTACAACATGTAGGCCTACTATTATGTATACTGTACTCAAGAAAAATTCTCCCCTTCTGGGAATTCATGGGTCTCCTGTGGCCAACAGTGAAGCGCCTTACCTTTACACCAGAGGCGCTTTCTCTCTATCTTTCTTCTGGCGCTGTGGGGTCGTAAACTGTCAGCGATGCCGACAGCACGCAGGAACTCAACACTCGCCTGGGGGTCCTTAAAAAGTGCTGTGGGTTACTGAAATGTCCCAGCTGACTGGTAAATGGAAATGTACTGGTCATCCTTTTATTTTGCTCGGTATCCAAAGCCACTTTTTGATGAACATCTTGTTCAGCTGAAGTTAACAGCTAACAAGACTTCATTTACCTTGCACGTGCATGATGTAGAAGCTAACAAATAGAAGGCCTACATGTAATTAAATTACAGTGGAGCTTGGACTCACGAAGTCGTTTGGCCTGACCTTCAACTTCAATTTTGTTGAATCTGAGTGTTCGTTATGATGGCAAACTTTAGGTTTTTGTGTAATTACAACTAGAGGTGGGCAAAATCCGGATTATCTAAGACTTATACTACAACTGTATTACATGTATAAGGATAACTGGATAATTCTCAATGAAACATCCGAAATCAGACTCGTACTCTTTCCTGACCCTTTTACTTTTACCGACAATTGACAAAATAAAACACGAAATAATCCAGGCTGTTGACAAAAAGCAAGCTCCACTGACGGAGATTTGTCGACAGTTCGACATTCCACAATGGTCGATTCACACCACAACAAAGATAGTGGTAGCATACTCCAACTGAAAGTTTGCCTTGCTCTGGATCGAAAGAAGATGAGACTCAGATGCAGATGCTGTGAACCAAGCTCTTCTGATGTGGTTTAAGGGTGGCAAGGAGAAAGTTGGTGCCAAAACCCCTGTTCGTGGGTACTTTTGGCAAAGGAAGCTACCCATGAATAAGTACAGCTGGATTTGTCCACAAATTCTTACTTTCCTTGCATTTCTTTAACCCTATTTCATACCCTACCTAAATATTCCTATTTCTATCACTTGGGGTCCAGGCAAACCCCCTAACTTCTAATAGCTGTTGTAGTGGAATTTCTGTCACTTGGGGTCCAAGCGGACCCCCCTGACATGAAGGACAGTCCGTGCCGGCTATAACTATAAGCACGCCGACTTATGCACGCTAAACGGCTCTTACCGAATTTTTTATATAAATTACATGCCTTTAAGCACGATAACTTCGGCTTTAGGCACGCTTCATTACAAGACAGTCAATACTTTAACGATGACCCATCGAAGTTCGAACACAGTCTACACTGCAGCAGTGGAGTGTGTTAAGAGAAACACAGAGAATGCCAGTGATGGAGACACACACTCACACGGGCGGAGAGGAAGGCAGAGAGATGCACACAGCCGCGTGCGTGGACATAGGATCTAGCCTAGGGCAAAGTTACACAGAGACTTAAAAATACAAAGTCGGGGAGACGAGAAAGGGCGGCTGGCTGCGATTTCACCTTTGACCTTCGCTATCCATTAATCCTGATTGTGTATCACGCGCGAGGTGGGATGAAGGCGGTGGTATGAATGTGGCACAGCGGGCAGTGGTACGCACAGGCAGCGTGTAGGCCTAGTGTGCTGTATCGTGACTGGCCGTCTAAATTGAGTTTTCATTTCCCATTCGACCACAAAACAAAAACAAACCAGCAAACAAAAACTACCATGGCGGGTAAAAATACCAGTGCACACTTTTGCGAGACCGCTATAGGCCTACTTACAAACAAAGGGAAATAGCATGGGAAATTTTCTACCTGAAAATCTCTGTATTATGTCTACTTCGCACTCTTCGGATTTAATTAAGCACCCTTATGCTTTCTCCCGATGACCGTGCTAAAGCCGGCATGGACTAATTGAAAATACCTATTTTTACCTTTGGGGTCCAAAAAGACCCCTTATGTTTTATCTATTGTTTTCTCGTATGTCTGTTTCAATCTTTTTAGCACATTTTACAAACAACAAACACCACAATTGCATGATTTTGTTAGACTGGAGCCTCAAGTAATTGATGACCAGAGTAGGCCTACTTATTTTTATTTGGGTCCTGATACACTTGCCCAATTGAGGATAGCAATGATGGTATGTTTTCCTCCCTCATAAAGATTCTACTGTATCTTAAAAGGTGGAACTGTGATGAAGCAATGGCAAATGAGCAATAAGATTTGAGCAATCTGAACTCAGGTGTTTGAGAAGGAGTTTACTCTGACGGAATTGAAGGCAACCCTCAAAAAATGTAAAAAGAGAAAGGCCTCAGGACCAGACCGGATCACCAATGATATGATCCTCAACCTGACAGTGACAGACTCTTCCCTCTCCATACTCCTGGACTTCTTCAACAGGACCTGGAATGAGGGACAGCTCCCAACAGAATGGAAGAAGGCAAACATCACACCGATACTGAAGAAGAACAAACCAGCAAGTCAGCCTTCAAGCTATAGACCAATCTCTTAAACATCATGCCTTGGTAAGGTCGTCGAGAGAATGGTCAACGACAGACTGTACTGGTGGATGGAAAACACCGGCACAATCAGCACATCACAGGCAGGATTCAGGAAAGGCAAAAGAACTATGGACCACCTCATCAGATTTGCCCAAAAGACCAGCGATGCCTTTCAATTTTCAAGATAAAGACAATTTTGTGGCCATCTTCATCGACCTGAGGCAAGCGTATGACCCTGTGTGGAGACAGGGACTTCTACAAAATGCAAAAGCTTGGGATAGCAGGAAGGGTGTACAGCTTGATCAAGAACTTTCTTTCTTGCAGAACTATCATGACATCATGTGACAACATTTCTTCACAGAGGACACTCGAGGAAGGCCTTCCACAGGGGTCAGCACTCAGCTGTACCCTCTTCCTGTTGTTCATGAACAACTTGCCATGTGTCATCTCCTGTCAGAAAGCACTCTACGCTGGCGACTAGCTCGTCTGTAGCAAAGGAAGTGACATGAGAGCACTGAACCAAGCCATCAACGCAGACCTGACTACTATCTCGTTCTACTGCCAGCTATGGAAGAGATGGAGATGAACTCAGACAAGACTGTTTTTGGACTCTTCAGCCTCAAAAACAAGGTTACAGCAGGTCAGGTAAACCTTAAGATCAATGGAACCACCATCAAACATGAGGACTATCCCAAGTACCTTGGTGTACAACTGGACCGAAAGCTGTCTCTCAGAGATCACTTAGGGAGCTGACCAAGAAAACCACCTCCAGACTAAACCTTCAGAAACACCTTTCATCACTCAACTGGGGAGCTGACAAAGCAACCCTCCGACAACTTTATTTGGGTAGGCCTATGTCAGATCTGTGATTGACTACTCCCTACCACTACAATCTATAACCAGCCAAAGCTCTCGACTCTCTGGCACAGCTTGACTGAGTACAGAACCAAGCACTCAGTTGTTTCTGGTGCGATGAAGACCATGCCTACTAGCGCCTGCGAAATCCACACCAACATAGAACCACTGGACCTCAGAAGAAAGAGTGCTACACTCAAAACCTACGAAAGATTTGTGCGACTAGAAGACACGAACGAAAGCAGAAAAATGGCAGATGAGTGGGAACCAAGAACGCGCATCCAGAAGACCTCCTTCATGCGAGAAGCAACAAAAGTACTTGAGGAGTTTGACCCACCCGAGAACAGAACCAATCACCAACATCAGCTGCGAACCTCCATATTGGCAGGCACTAGAAATCACAATAAGGACGAGACATCTAGACCCTTCTTGTGACAAGACCACACCAGAAGAAATCCTCAGAACTAGTACCCTGGAGACAGTGGACTCGTATACCGAAACTCCAATTTAAGCATACACAGATGGGTCGGCAACAAACGCTGCACGCAAAACTGGATACGGATCCATCATCAAATATATATCAAAACAACCTTGGAGAGAAGAAGCAGACCCAACTATTTGGCCCATGTGGAACATACAGCTCTAACTATGACGCAGAGAGAGTTGCCATAGAAAAGACCCTGGAACAGATCACCCAAGAT